TACTTATATATATATATATATATATATACATGAAACCCATTTAACAGAAAATTCTATTATGACTTCAACAAAATATTTTACAACTAGATTCATAGATGTCATGTTACTACCACATGGAGAGAGAACCATCTCAATTTTCACATAAAGTCAACTAAATCTGAACAACTCATACAATACAACATTTAAACACAACCTAGGTTGAATATTAACTTATAAAGAACCAACAGAGAATGTGACTTATTCTGTTACAAAAAACTTTCATCTCTTCTGCATTAATTTTTTGTTTCTTATTTCACCAAATTAAAGTAGTTTGGTGTCAGAAAAACACGTAGGTTCAAGAAATCTTGATACAAGATGATAAAAACCCTATAACCCGAGCTCTTTCAAAAGGTGGACCTTTCTTCTTCAGGAGCAAACTAGGAATGGTGGTGAATGAATGACATATAAAGGGAGCTGAGTAACGTCATCTGGTTTTCCAGGAAATGCTTAGTATATTTTTCCATGTACTGTTGTAAGTGTCTCATTTCCAGTACAATGTAGAATTTCTGCAACAAATCCTTGAAAATACCTCCTTAAAACTCATGAATATCACTAAAACATTCTGTCAGTGTTCTAGATAAAGAAGTTTCCCACTATTATCACCTGTACAATCCTTTGCTGAAACAAAACGAACTACAAAAATTTACAAACATAACTAATACATTCCTTCTTAAAAATCAGCTTCCTACCAATAACACAAATTCAAAAAAGTGCTTCTAACAGCATTCTTCCAAACCCTCTTCATCATAAAGAAACTACCATAGCATCAAGCATCTACCAGAAACTATCAAAATCCCTTTATCTCACAATGAACAGCTTAAAAAAAATGAAGCCTTTTCAAACTAACAAATCAGTTGAAAATAACACTGACCTCATAAATCTCAATATAGGTAACAATGAACACCCCCCACATATCTTTAACATTGCTAATCTTTCAGATATAACTGTCTTTGAAGCAGAACTCAGTCTCCTTAGTAAAGGTCCAATAACAGCTTTGTTAATGAGCCTGAACTTTGTTCTGACCTTCATGAATTCTCTAGAAGACTAAGACTTTGCAAATTCTTTCACAACAAACTCCACCCTACTGAAAATCAACATACACTGAACTTTAAAGAAAAGTCTTTATGGATACCTCCACCAATAAGAGAAACACATTTAGTTATATTAAGGCAGTAGAAAATGACATAATACAGACCTTAAAATCTTCTAAGCAATGTCATAATAATATTAACCAGAATGAAAGAACTGCTATAAACAATCTTAAATCAAACAACAACATCATAATAATACCAGCAGACAAGGGTGGAGCTATTGTTATTCTTAAAAATGATGACTATATCACGAAAGCTAACCGGCAACTAGAGGACACTCATTTCTACCATAAACTCTCACATGATCCTACAACTCACTTTATTAAGACCATAACTGATCAATTTAAAAGAACTTCTCCAAAACAATAAAATTAACAAAGAGTCCTTTCAGTATTTTAAACCCAGACAAACTTTTCCTGGTAGATTTTATCTCTTACTAAAAATACACAAACCAAACAATCCTGGCCGATCCATAATTTCTAACATAAACACGGCTACTGAAAAGCTATTCACTTTTGTTGACCAACACATAAAATGTATTCTCTGTGCCCTCCTTTCTTACATAAAGGATACTACTCACTTTCTTAACATCATAGAAGATATTAATACTAATGAACTGTTACCACCTATCAGTCTTCTTTGCACGATAGATGTTTCTTCCATCCACACTAATATTCCACATGATAAAGGACTAGAAACTGTAAAGTCTGCATTAAACCTTTCTAACCCATCAGAATCTCAAACAGTAACTGATCTTGCCAGCCTGGTTTTAACTCTGAACAACTTCAAATTCAATAATGAACATTACCTTCAAGTTAATGGTACTGCATTGGGTACCAAAATGGCTCCCAGTTATGCCAACATTTTTTATGAGTCATATTGAAAACCAGCTTTTACAACTAAACTGTGAAAAATCTCATACATGGAAACATTACATAGATGACATATTTTTCATTTGGACAGCCAGTCTTGAATCACTTAAAGAATTTATCTCATAATATGCAAACTCCTTTTACAAAACAATCAAGTTTACCTTTGATTACTTGCCTACCCAAATTAACTTTCTTGACGTCACTGTCTTTTTAAAGAACAGAATTATACACACGGACCACAATACCTTCATAATAAAAGCTGTCACCCCACTCACACTAAATGGAACACTACCTACAGTCAAGCTCTTAGAATAAAGAAAATATGCTCAGATGAAACAGACTACAGAAACACACCAAGGATCTAAAACAAACCATGTTACAAAGAGGACATAAAGATAATGAAACCGACAGACAGGTCGAAAAGGTTAAAAACACTCAGCAAAAAAAGATCTTAAAAACAGATTCAAAAGGTTAACAATACTCAGTGGAAAAAGATCTTAAAAACAGACAGATTCAAAAGGATAACAATACTAAAGTTTCAAATAGAATTCCTCTTATTAGTGCCTATCACTTTAAACTTACAAACGTTTCACGAATTCTTAAAAAACATTTTCATCTCCTACAACTGAACGATCGCCTCAAACAGATATTTCCTTAAGTTCCCATTGTCTCCTTCTAAAAAAGCAAAACTCTAAAGATATTCTTGTTCACTGAAAAGTGAATTACATCTCACCCAAAAATGTTTGTCATCCATGCAATAAAGCTAGTCAAACCTGCAAGTTCATAAAAACTACTGACTCATTTTCTGACAAGCACAACCAGCCCCCCAGTGGCACGGTGGTATGTTTGTGGACTTACAATGCTAGAAACTGGGTTTTGATACTCATGGTGGGAAGAGCACAGATAGCCCATCATGTAGCTTTGTGCTTAACTTCAAACAGACAAGCACAACCAAAGAAACTTTAAAATATTCAAAGAAATCACTTGTGGAACACAAAACACCATTTACCTTATACAGTGTAAAAATGCAATCACCAATATGTAGGACATACACAAACAACACTTAGAGAACGTTTCAACAACCATAAACCTTTTATTAACACTGAAAAAAATTTCCCTGTTGCTCAACACTTAACTAATCCAGTCATTCCATGAACGATGTTACTCTTATTGGTATTGAAACAGGATTCAAAACTAAAGCTGATAGAGAAATAAATAAATAAAGCTTATTGGATTGCTAATCTAAATGCTGTACAACCTTTTTGAATTAATCTATATCCTGGAATTGGTGATATCCAATCATTGGTTTCATCTCTGTCAGAAAAATAATTTTTATTCTTTGCTCATTTCTTATAGGATTTTTATCATTAAGTAGTTTGTTGGTGGTGGTTTGCATTCAGTTCCTTTAATATTACCATCGTGATTTTTTTAATCTTTCTTAAATTGATGAAAACAAGTAAAAATATCTTAATCCAGTTGAGGTAGAGTATGAAAAAGTTGTTTTAATAAAAAGAAACCTCTTAGATGAGATGGTAATGAAATTGCTTTTCTCAAAATTTTTTTATACACAATTGACAGGCTATTTAAGAGAAAAGTTTTGTAGGAAATATAAAAACATTTAAAGTCTGATAATTTACAAAGAAGAATTAAGACTCATTCAGACAAATTTTATAACTCAGGTTTACATTATTAAAAAGGCAGTAAAAAATCCTTTAAACATTTAACAGTGTAAAAACAGGCTGTCTTATTCCAGCAGTAAATTTGTGATTAATTAAAGTTATTTTATAATGTCAGATTCTTTATCCATATGTATATGAACACGTTTAAAATCTGGATTTTTTTTTGTTCTTAAAATTAATTTATGGCACACAGTAGTCTCAGTACAAACCTCAGTTTCTTCAGACTATCTTAAAATTTGCTATTTCCACCTTATAAAGTATGATTATGTTTCCTTTAAGGAAGATTTATACTTCATTAAAACCCTCACAAAACAGCTTCTATAGTTTTAAAATGAATCTCTTTATGACAGTGTTTCTACTTTCAGTGAAACCATTTAAATACTTGAATTTCTTCTTCAAAATGGTTTTTTAAGAACACTCTTCTATTTCAAGCTGTTTAAAAACTTGGCTTCTTCCCCTCTTACCACAAGCTTCTCATTTTCCAGCTGAGGTCCTTTTCTGGGCTGGAGTAAAAGTAAAAAAAAACAACTATTTTTTACATTTACTACAAATTTGATAAGTACCAAAATTTTTTTATAAAATCTAGTTGTTCCATATTAGAAAATTGGTACATCAAGTTTATTTTTATTTTTTATCTTATTGGAAAGAATAAACAGCATCAGACTAGTCACTTGTTGATAGTTTACACTATATTGGTTGTCATATAATCAATATGAAAGTGTCACACCAATATAAAGCCCATAAAAACTACAAGCATGTCATACTCATTAGTAGTAATGTTTATTCAGTCATGGCTCCTAGTACCGAAATACCGTATGAAGAGGACACCGGCACTGTTAATAACAGAAGTAATCATGAAAGAGAGCTCAAAGTTTCCAAAAGTTATGTTAACTAAAAAAGATATATTCTTAACAAGAAATATGATGAAGTAGTACAGATCTGGTTAATGACTGCTGTAAATACAGACATGAATGTATACCTCAGGAGCAGTAACATGCACATTAACATGAAATGGTTTCAAAGATGTATTTCTGCTCAAAACATGCTACTGAAAAGTGGTAACAAAACCAAAAGGTTGAAATGGAAACTGGACCACAAATAGTGGAATGAAAAAAAAGGTATGGACTTATGCTCTTTACTAACTGTTCAGCAACAAATAATAAGTTTGTTCAATGGCAGGGAGGAGAATGGTACTGTGGTCAATGCACGACATCTATAGTGAGGATAAGTACAAATTTGGAACAGCATTTCAGTCAACATTGTCAATGATCAACACAAAACTGATGGCACCCTCAATGTTGAAAGGTACAAGGAGGTTCTGATCCATCATGCTATTAACTCAAAAACATGACTCATTGAGCAAAGATTCATCTTCCAGCAAGGAAATGATCTCAAGTATACAACAATATTTGCTGTATCCTTTTTTTAAAAAATAATCTCAATGCAAATGCTTGCTTTGTTAGAGTATATAACTGAAATATGCAAGATCCCTGGAATATGATTTAATCATTTTAATAGCATAACTATATTTATCTATCAAATAGGTAAAAAAATATCTAAAAACCAGTTAGAAAACGCTGGTGGTTTGGAAATCAGTTTACACTGTATTTGAGTATGATTATTTTTCAAACTATAAAAAAACCTTTGAACTTTGATGAATTCTTTATTGGAAACAGAAGTGGATACATATACAAATGGTGATTTAAACATCAAAACAAAATCCCAAAGGACAATATTAACTAAAATTCACAATGTTTTTAAAACTGAGAAAGTGCACATAATTAAGGTAGAACCTCTTTGTAATGATGTATTTTTAATTGTAAAATTTCTTGCAATGATTTTCCATCAAAAACACATATGTTTTTTATAAATTGGACATTGTACAATATAAGGACATTTATATATTACTAAATACAACAAAATCATTGTGCTATTATGCTTACATCCACACATTATCAGCTGGCAGAATTTAAAACCTTCAGTAGAAAAATGCTTCGAATAACATTCCATAGGCATATGTCTTGTGCATTTGGTAATGACTTTCATGGCAGTAAATTTGAGCACTTACATGTCTTACTGTTTGTTAAATGCAAAGCTACACAATGGGCTATCTGTGCTCCGTCTATTGTCAGCATCAAAACCTGTTTTTAGCATTATAAACCCTCAAACTTCACTGATGAGTGGTTGTGGGGGGTACTTAAATATGTACAAATTCAATTTTAGAGATGTCTGGCTAGTTTACATGCCTGATGTGAAGAATCATGAGTAATTGGATTTTCGATTTTTTGTCTTGTTAAGAATATTTAAATGTAGTTATATTGTATCATGGTAAAATTATCATTATAACATTTTCAACATTATGGATAATCTCATAAATCTTGAACATACATACATATATGTGTGTGTGTGCTGTTTATCCAGTGTGTAATATAATAAGAACTCACAGTTTATTAAAGTAAATGCACTCACCTTCATCATGCCTGTTCTTTCAAAGTTCGATCCTCCACAATTCCTGAAGGGAAATAAAATTCAAAATTTATAGAACCACTGACAAATGATTAATCTCCTAGAATGTACAAAATCCTGTATTTATGTGTTTTACAAGTTAATACTTATAAAGTTTTATTACACTATTCCAAGATCCATAACGATCAGGCTAATATTACTCTTTGAAATATCCATTTGTTTTGAATATACACATACCTGCACGATACTGTAGGATATTTGTTGAATGAGAATGTTCTGTGGCTGCAATTAGTACAACAGAAAAACCTCTTCTTTCCCTTGTGTCTACTCAAAGGATGATTCTCATTTTTGCACACATCAGTAGCGCTCTGTGCCGTGTAACCACACTGCATGAAACAGTTATAAAATATAAAATGAGATTAAATCTAATAAAATTAACTATTCTTCTTAAGAGGAATCGTGAATTTTCTACAAAAAAACAACAATAATTGTTCTAAGACATAGCAAACTGCCAAACAACTGAGGGCTACCTTTGTATGAATCAAACAATGATGGAAGCAGGCAATTTCAGTCCACATTAATTTTTACAGAGGAGACACTTTTAAAACTGACAAATTAATATTAGGTACCAATATCATGTATAATGATCTTGGTTCTGTAGTTCAGTATAGAACATAAACTGGATATTTAAGGTAAAAGTTTTAACCTTCTGAAACATATGTAGGTAATCACAAATTCAAAGTCATTCCAAAAAACTTTTGTCATAATGTTTTTAGACATTTATAACCAACAGAAAGCCACATAAAATAAAATGTTTTCTCAAATACAGTGGTAAACAATGTAATGGGCATGAAAAAAAAATTAGCTTCTTTGATGTGATATTTAAAGCTAAAATTGGGACATTTTGACATCTGGCTACTTTTACCGCACATATGATAAAGTGAATAATTTGATCCTTTTCATCTGTCAAACACCACCATGTTATTCGTTTTTTAAACTTCATACTCTTTTTTTTTTCCCAGCATTAAAAAGTATATACAGAAATTACATGTTAACATTCACATTTTCAGCATTAAAAAACTGTCCATTGTTGTGAAGGTAGGATGATTTAGTCACCAAACATGTATCGATATATTACATATAAAGGCAAGATTATTGGTATTGTTTCTTTACAGGGATAGGGCCTTAAAGCAAAAATTGGGTTTAAAAATTAACTGTCAGCTAGCAACTTATACAATCACCTAAGTCCAGTCACTAATCAGTTACTTTATTACTAGAAACTAATTAGTAACTAATTATATCTTTTGGCTGCTAATCTGCTGCCCTCTTCAGACAAGTTATAAAAAAGGACTGTTTCTGTGTGTCACGATATAAAAGACTGTTTGGTTTAGATATTAGTGATTAATTTATTTTTGTGAGTGAATATTATATTATTGTATATTTTTTATTATAGTAAGAGTTAAAAGCAGACGATTAAAGGACATCCTTGACATCGAGAATATAGAAGGCGAACAGATGATTATGTGATAAAGATATAAATAGCGTGAGACAAGCGGGAAGCAGCACACAGGTAATAGCAAAAGAGAATAAAGTTGGTGTGAAGTTAACGATTGTAGAAAGGATAGGCCTAGCTTTTAATATGTTAGAGTGAAATTAACAGTAGAAAAGAAGATAAGAAAGATAATTTCATTCCATCAGAGTGTGGTTCTAAAGTAATTGAATCAGCCTGAGTGCACTTTGACAAAAGGAATAGAGGATCTTCAAAAGAAAGAAGACCAAATGTTATGGTAACTCTCTTCACAACTGTAAGTGAATCACAGAGAATACTAAGAATATTAGTGCGATAGAAATAGAGAAGATAGTTCGGCTTATCAACTGAAATTCTAAAGTAACTGAATAGACCTAAGTGGATATTTGACAAGAAGGTGAGAATTACATATATAGTGTTTATGATATGTCCATAATATCTATAGTGTTGAAGAATTTATTGTTCTGAACATATAAATTATTTT